TATTTGTCCTCACAAAATTGCTAGCTTTCTGGGAAGTGTTTGCTTAATAAAAGATCTGGCATATCAATGAAGTGCCCTATAGACAAAAGACGGCCCTCTCTGGCACCAGAGAGTCTGGGCACATATAGCACGTGGGGAAAGCTCCAAAACCTGCCCTGAATTCCTCTGTTTTGCCCCAGGACATGTACTTACTTTGTTTATCCTCATTCTCAGACAGCCCTTTTTATGTTTTGATTGAAACTTCGGGCTCCAACTCAACTCACGATGAAGAAAAATTGACCAACTTCCTAGAACGGGCCATGGCTTCTGGTTTGGTCACTGATGGAACTGTGGCAACGGACGATAAGAAAATAAAGGCAAGTCAGTGTTCCCTCTCCCACAAATCTCTTTGACATGGATTTCTGTTTTATATAGGGCAGTGTTCAGCCTCAGGTTTGGTGCATGCACAGATCCCAAGAGCTGCCTGGGTGATATGGATTTCTGTGGTCCTTGATTGCTCAGGTGCTGTGGAGCCTGCGGGAGAGAATCACCGAGGCCCTCACTCACGAGGGTTACGTGTACAAATATGACATCTCCCTGCCCGTGGAAAAGCTCTATGACCTTGTGACTGACATGAGGGCTCGGCTGGGCCACAGTGCCAAAAGTGTGGTGGGCTATGGCCACTTGGGTAAGTAAGGGTGAAAAACGCCAATTGCTTGTTTTTAAGTTTTAAAAGTTTAATAGGAATAAAACTGTTATAAAAATAGCAGTATAATTAGAGTAATAAAAAGTTGAACAATTGAGATTAGGATAATATGAGAAAATAAAAACAAAGAGTTAGGGACAGTCTGAGTACCTCTTTGTGAGCAAAATAAGCTCGAAAAAGGACACATGTTAATAGAGGATTAACCCTTAAAAACAACAGCCTGTTGCATATTCATACACCTCATACATGATGCATAAATTCCATTCAAACAAAGGATTCTGTCTGGTCAGCATCAACTTCTTCCAGGTAGGAAGAAGTTAGTTTCTTTTGATAATGGGGCAATAAATTCTCTTTCTCTAAAAGATTTAAGTGTCCTGTGGCTGCTGTCTTGTGCAAGTACCTCATTCCTTTCTTTTAAAAAATATCCCACATACATAGTTTCTATTTTAACATTATGTTATATCCTAAAACTATATTTAACACACTACTTGAGAAAATTAATACAGAATCACTTTCTAACATAACACATATAATATTAATTTTAATATTTGCAAAAAAAATCATAAAATATGCTTTTTTTTATGGTGGGAGTGCTGGGAAAGGAGGTGATAGTCCTTCTGTGCTGCGGGTGAGAGGCTTAAATTGAGGGCTGTGGACGAGGAGAGTGCATCAGGATGTTGGTGTTTGAATTTCACTGCTTTCAGACTGTTTTCAGTATACTGATGGCAGGTTACTGGCCAGTGAGCCATGGAACTGGTCATCTGTATCTTCTTGCTGTGTACTTTCTATTTAAATATGTAATTTGTTCTGTTGGACCATTAATTTGGTTGATGAACTTAGACATATTTGGCAGATAACCACTTTCTTGTCCAAAGTGATTAATCCTACTGGAAATCAGTTTTTTGTGAGCCATTAACCCTCCAACAGAGAGTGGTAATGGTAAACGCACAGAAAGGCTGATAGATTTGTCAGCATGCTGGGAAACTAATCTGATTTTACAAGCAGGTAAACTGGTCCTTTAGGAGACCTGTTCTGTTACAAAAAACCATGGAACACTGTTGAGCACACTTGATTAGGGATCATTTGAAAGACACGTTGCATAACAAAGGCTTCCTGTTGGTAACTCTTTGAGGACTGAGCTGTGTGCAGTGAGGGTTTGCTAGGATGCAGGAGGAGGATGAGTAAGTTGTATTTTCCTTTGTGTGTTTTGTCTTTTGGAGTAGCAACTCTGTGCCTAATCAAATACTGTCACACACAGTGGCATAAGAAGAAATTGTTCTTCTTTCTTTGTTTCTGTTGACACAGTGCCAATGCACATTTAGAGCATTGCACAAACATAATAGGGAGAGAAAAAGTGATGAAGGGCCATGTTAGAATCTAATGATCATTATGAAATGCCTTTGAGCAAGTCTTTGTCATTGCGTCACGGTGGTGGCACAAACATTAAAGCAGCACAGTGGGAATTTGAAAATCACAAAAGTTGGAGTGTGAAAGCAGCTTAACTCAGATCCTTTCCTCAAATATTGCACTTGGAGCATATTTAAATTATTTGTGCACGGAGAAGCTGATGTTTGTAGGACAGTGAGCTTGTCCTTTTTGCACAGTTTGCAGACTAACAAAGCCCTGTTGTTTGAGAATGTGGAGAAGCCAGGAATGAGTATCCATTGACCCACCTGTGCAATGTTTTCTTCCAGGAGATGGGAACTTGCACTTGAACATCACGGCCGAGTCCTACAGCCACTCCCTGCTGGATGCCATTGAGCCCTTCGTGTACGAGTGGACTGCGAGGTGCAGTGGCAGCATCAGTGCAGAGCACGGGCTGGGCTTCAAGAAGAGGCAGTTCATTCAGTACAGCAAACCACGCCAGGCTGTGGTGCTCATGCAGCAGTTCAAAGCCATGCTGGACCCCAAAGGGATCCTCAACCCCTACAAGACTCTGCCCTCGGCTCCCTAGGGGAGCACATGCTGAGGAGCTCCAGCTCTGTACCTGCACTTGGATCATAGGCACACTGGATCAGCAAGCACGTGGAGTGCTCCATGTTTGATTTTGTTAGTGGCATAGAACAAGTAAAGGAATGATGTTGCTATTTTTGGGGGTGCCTGCTCTTGCTGAAGAACACATGCTGGGTTTCCTGCTTAGTCTGAACATTGAAACCAAGCACAGAGATACTGTGTGTGTATGAGTATTCCAACTCTCTCCCTGCTTGGGTTTGCTCTTGATTTATCAGTAACAGCAGCCAAAGGAGTCATTTTCTTACTTGGGCTGTGCAGGTAAAGCATCAGAGACACAGGAGAACCTGTGGATGTAACTCTTCCAAGTGAAGGTGTTGCTTTTCCTGTCTTGGTTTGAAAAGACAGGTGTCTGCTAGGGAAGGAGCCTCCTGTGAAAAGGAAGTGTTTCTTCATAGAGCATATAATCAATTACTGCACCAGGCTTCCTGGAGAGGTGCTTGGTGCCCCAGACTGTCAGTGTTTAAGAGGCATTTGGGCAGTGGTGTAACTTTAGGGCAGCCTGAACAAGTCAAAGCAGTTGGACCGGATGATTGTCATAGGTCCCCTTCCAGCTGAACTGTTCTATTCTAACATGAAGGGTTTTATTTGTTTTAGGGTTTGGTTTTATGTGCTACAGTCTGTTCTGTCATTTATGGTTTGTTGTACAAAACCACATTGTCACCTTTCTGCTACAGAGGGCAGTGAATCATTCATCTTCTGGCCTGCTTGGCGTTTGTTAGTCATATCCGTATTTACTGACACGTGTCACTCACAGCCTGGGCTCTCGTATCCAAGTGAAGCAGGTGGTGATGACAAAGAGCCAGGGAATTTTCCAAAGGTAAATAGTGTCTCTAAGCTGATAACCTTTTACAACAAAAGGATGTTTTTTGTCAACATGGGCAGAGCAGTGGATGTCAGCAAAGCCATTGATACTCTTCCCCACAATCTTCTCCAGGCTGGACAGGGATTTGAGTGGCCTGGCCTAATGGAAGGTGTCCCCAGCCCATGGCAGGGGTTTGGAACAAGGTGAGCTTCCAACCTAAACCATCCTGTGATTCTGTGATTCTCCTGGACTGCCTGGGTGAGCTGTGGGACAGGTAATAAGCTGGCTCAGGCTGTGCTCAGAGGGAGCCCATTAGTGGATTTTCCTCAGGTGTACTGGTTTGGAAAGCCTTGCTAGATGCCATGAGAGATGGGAAGGTGGTGTCTTATGCAGTAGCCATCTTTTCCACTACCTGCTTTTCAGTGAAATAAATGTTCCATCCACAGCCTTGTTCTTTGAAGAAAAACCATCCTAAAGAGTGTTTTCTGCTGTTTTAAGGCAGAACACAACCTCTACAAGGCTGCACCCTGTCAGATTGCACTAAGGATGCTGGCTTGTGCTCAGCAATGTGTTGCAGTGACCTTCTCAATACAGTTCTAAGATCACACCTCTCTCAGCTTGGCCTTGTGGATGCTTTTGGCAGAAATACCTCCATATGTTCCATGGCCTGCCAGTACCTGCTCTCCACTCTTGTCCATTCAACCCTTTCTCTCCACTCCTTCAGGACGAGTGAGAGGAGCTGATTGTCCTCTTCTGGGGTGAAGCAAAGTGAACAATGCCATCATTTGCAAAGAGGAAGAATTTTGTCATGGAAATGGTGGTCAGGCATTGGCAGGGGCTGCCCAGGGAGGTGCTGGAGTCCCCATCCCTGGAGGTGTTCAGGGAATACCTGGACATGGCACTCAGTGCTCTGGGCTGGTTACAAGGTGGATATTGGTCACCCAGTGGTCTTGGAGATCTCTCCCAACCCAAATGGTTCTGGAATTCTGTGGCTCTGTGAAAAGAGAAGACATCCTGTGCAACAGAGTCGGCCTGTGCTGCTTGGGTGTGGGGTGATGAACAGCTATGGGAAGTCCATGATGTCGTTGGAAAATAAAAATGCAGGATTTGCTTTCTGCCAGGATAGGCTGATGCAGCTAGTTCTGTCCGGATCAGGCTGTTTATATTTTCTGCCCTTTTCCTACACCATTCTTTCTTTTTTCCCCCTAAACTAATGACCATCACTGTGTAAAATACAGACTTTCCACATGAGAGGCTCCTTTTGGGAAGTGGAACTTTCCATAATTCTCTTTTTCAGCTGTGTACAGAGAGGATTCTCAGGAGGGAGACACACAACCCTGTGCTGTGGCCAGGGAAGTTCTGGCATAGCTCCATTTAACCATCTTCCTTACACTTGAAGATCCTAAAGCTTGTAAGATTTACTGTTTCACTAAACAATAGAGCAGTTCCCTGGGGAGTACAAGGGAGGAGTTAGTGTAGGGTTGTTTTATCTTTCCTAGACTTTACTTCTGTGTTCTCAGTGATGCTTTCACATAATGGTGCACTGTTGTTTATAGGAGGGAGAGACAGGGTGGGTACATGTATGTGTACTTTTGGAAAGAATCATTGTGACAGGAATTTCTTGTCCAAAATTCTAATTTTTCTGAGACAGACTTAAATACTAGGCTGCTGTGAATGCTTCACACTTAAGAACCAGTGCCCTTCTGGCACAGTAGGGACTTGTCTCTCTCTATTGTTTTTGCCTCTCTGTACAGGATTATGGCTGGGATAGAGTTAATTTTCTTGACAGTGGCTGGATCTGTGTTTGGATCAGCGATGGAAGCACAGGAATGTTGTAGCTGTTGCTCAGTGGTGCTTACACAACATCAAGGTCTATTCTGCTCCTCACCAGCGTGGAGCTGGGGTGTGCAAGGAGCTGGGGGAGACACAGCTGACCCTGACTGAGCACAGAGGTCTCTCACATGGGAGGAGGCCATGCTCAGCAATAAAAGCTGGGGAGGAGGGAGGAATGGGGGTGTTCCCAAGTCACCGTTACGCGTGATGGAGCCCATCTTTCCTGGGATGGCTGAACACTGGCCTGCAGCAGGAGGCAGGGAATTAATTCCTTTTGATTTGCTTGCTTGTGCAGGTTTTGCTTTGCCTGTTAAACTGCTCTTATCACAACCCACAGGTTTTTGCATTTCCACCTTCTGATTCCCCCCATCCTGCTGCAAGGGGCCGACTCCCCCAGGGCCAGACCCCCAAGAGGAAGCAGAGGCAGGATGGAGTGATGAATCTCACCCCAAGTCACTAATTCTGTGTCACCTGGCTGCCCTTCTCTGCCCCAGTCTCTGAGAAACCCGCCTCCACATCAGGACAAGTATTCGTGCCTGGCATAATTTTTTTTTTGGTGTAACCAAAGCTGACAATTTGTGCACAACACCCCAGGAGAGAGCAATGAATCAATTGTAAAAGTGTAAAAAATGGGCTTTTGTGATCCGTGGGCTCTACCAGCTCCTGAGCGAGAAATGGCACAGCTGACGTGTGTAATGTAACAGGAGAAAGAGGTCGCTGAAATGTGCCCCCCCTGCCAGCAGCAGCTGGTGCTATGCCAAGAGTAACCCTAGAAATTCTCCATAAAAGAGCACATTGACTCAGGTTCTACCAAGAAACTCAAGGAAAGCAACCCTACACCTTGCTAATCTCTGCATCTTGGTAAGCACTGGACTTGGGGCTGGTCTGGGGAAGCTGTGATTTGAAAAGAAATGCTGTGTGCGTGGGTGCTCTGGAAATGCAGCAATGTAGGTGAGGATCCTGGAGTGCTGAGGATTTGGCTGTTGGTGGGGGGCCAACAGCATACAAAGGTTAGAAGGGTGGCACTGTGTGAGGGGAGGGAAAGGGGACCACCAGGAGGTGCATGGAATACAGCATGGCTATAAAAGAGCAAAGTAACAACTCAATCCCCCCTAATCCAGGCTGGGAGATGTGGGTACACTTTTAGTTGCCCAAATGAGGAGAGCATTGGCTTCATCCCAGTATGGGGAGCAGGGAGATGACCCCACCTCCAGACCTGCAGGACAGATTCCACTCTCCCAATGCAAACAATCAAACCCAGTTTGTGGAGTCCTGGTGTACAGCAACCTCAGTGGAATCTAAAATCCTTGCATAATATGAATTGTAACAGTTGTTAAAAACACCAGAGATAGGGCATAAAATAATGCCCCTTTAGGGGTAAGATTTCTCCCTCCAAAGGCCTGGATACAGCCAAGTCTGTTCAGCTCTTAACCTCCTGTTACAATAATTGCATTTTTACCAAAAATTTTGAAGTCTAAATGTTTTAAGAGGAATTTTCCATAGGTGAACGCCATTCCTGTTTTGCTGTTGTCCTTAATTAGCTCTTGCCAAATGTGTCCAGCAGGGAATTCCTATCCTTACCCACCGAGCAAGAAGCAGATAAAAGGGACAGCAGGCACTGACCATGGCCCCTGGCGATGTGATGTTGTGCAGGGTGACAAGGGTCCAGTGCCCTCCAGCAGCCCCTGCCCAGATCCTGCTGTGAGCCAGGAGAGAAAGGGATCCCCTCTAAGGAATCCCAGTTCAACCTTTCCTTCCCAGCACAGCTGCTGCGAACGCCGTGTCCCGAGGCAGCTCTTTATACCTGTGTTGATGTCCTGGATACCAGCACTTTTCATGGCTTATTAATTAACTCCCACCCACTTCTGGAAACACCTAGCCACTCCCTTCGTCCTCACCTATCCCAGCCATTTATAGCAGTGAACGGATGCTAGAAATAGAGACTTGGCCACTGAGAGCCAGAGGAGACGAGCAGGCACTGGAGTCGGTTTGCAAAAGGAGACATTTCCCAGCTCGCAGCAGCATGAAAAGCCCTGGGTGCGCTCCAAGGTAAGGGCAGAGGGTGCCGAGTGCTCGGGGTGCCAAACTGAAACTTGCTTTGCAGGAAGTCGGGTTCAGGTAATCCCTGGAAGTTGTTAATAACCTATAGAGTTAGTTACAATTTGCTCCAGGGAAGGGATTCATTTTGCCGTTGATATTTCTTGTCTGCGTTCCAGGTCTTTTAATTTAAAAGAACCTTGTTAGTTTGATGCTGACGTCTGTTGTTTTCGGCTTAAGCCAAAGGAGCAAGAAAGACGTCCCAAGCCTTAAAGCATCTATAGCTGCACCTCTAAGAGAGGGAGATTTCCGTGTTTTCTTCCCAGAGGGAAGATAGCACAGCACGGGCTGGAAAGGCAAGTGGAAACTCTGGCACCAGCCTTGCCAAGTGCTCCGTGGGTTTTTTGGCTTCTTAGAATTTTGTGTCTCAGCAGTCAGCTCCCATGTGCTACTTAAAGGTCTTCCAGGCTTGTTCAGGTAAATTCAGCACAGCATTCAAATTTGGGCTTTCTCTCTTGAACTTTGCTTCACCAGATCTTAGAGGTATTTCACAACCTAAACAATTCCATGATGCTGTGCAGGTCAGAGACTTGCAGTGTTGTGACAAAGGGGGTGTGTGACACTAAGGGAACACAGCTTAAGGCTGTCACAGAGATGTGCCAGGGTGGTGGGGGCCAAGTGGGGGTGAAATGCCAGTGCAGGTTTGCAGACATGGGATCAGAATATTCTGAGCTGGAAGGGATCCACAGGGATCATCGAGTGCAGCTCCTGCTTCTGCAAAGGACAATCCCAAATACCACACCAAGTGCATGAGAGCATTTTCCAAATGCTTCTTGATATTCTCATAATTTCCATTACATGCATTTGAAGCATAGAGAGCCTGAGATGTAATCATTCTCTGCAGAATTTCAAACAGTTGTCATGTCTTACTCATTCTGGAATGAACACTGGAAGCAGGTCTGGTAGCAAATCCCACACTGGCCCTGTGCTATTTTCTGGGAGAGCAGTGACACAGTGTTCAAAACACTGTGTATGCTCCAGGTGAAGCTCCTACTCGCTTTCTGTCAGTAAAAACCCCAAAACATTTCAAGAGCTCATCTGTTTCCAAGCACAAGATGTGAAGAAATGATGGAGGCTTGTTGCAAGAGGAGGGAAAGGTGCCATCAGTTTGCTGCATGAGAGATTTGTTTATTCAGCCACCTTATTCCGCCGGTGTGTGTGGGGATGTCACACTGGAGCCAGTGACAGCCCTGACAGTGCAACTGTGGGTGGCCAAGCCCAGGGGGTGATGGGGACAGGACTCCATGGGTGCACTGGCCTGCACCCTGGGTACCTGCAACCCTCTTCTCATCCCCAGGGTCTCCATTTTCCCACACTCCTCCCTGGGATCTCCTCAATCCCTGCCCTTGGCTCTTCCTCTGGACACCTTCCTTGCTCGCCTTTGCTGGCCTGAGGTGCAGCAGGGTTCCCTCTGTGTCACCACTCCCTGCTTGTTCCCTGGGCTGGAAGGCAGATACCTTTTCCATCCCTCCATCCCTCCATCCATCCATCCATCCATCCATCCTCCATCCATTCACCCTCCACCCATCATCCATCCATCCATCATCCATCCATCCATCCATCCATCCTCCATCCATTCACCCTCCACCCATCATCCATCCATCCATCATCCATCCATCCATCCATCCATCCTCCATCCATTCACCCTCCACCCATCATCCATCCATCCATCATCCATCCATCCATCCATCCATCCTCCATCCATTCACCCTCCACCCATCATCCATCCATCCATCATCCATCCATCCATCCATCCATCCTCCATCCATTCACCCTCCACCCATCATCCATCCATCCATCATCCATCCATCCATCCATCCATCCTCCATCCATTCACCCTCCACCCATCATCCATCCATCCATCATCCATCCATCCATCCATCCATCCTCCATCCATTCACCCTCCACCCATCATCCATCCATCCATCATCCATCCATCCATCCATCCATCCTCCATCCATTCACCCTCCACCCATCATCCATCCATCCATCATCCATCCATCCATCCATCCATCCTCCATCCATTCACCCTCCACCCATCATCCATCCATCCATCATCCATCCATCCATCCATCCATCCTCCATCCATTCACCCTCCACCCATCATCCATCCATCCATCATCCATCCATCCATCCATCCATCCTCCATCCATTCACCCTCCACCCATCATCCATCCATCCATCATCCATCCATCCATCCATCCATCCTCCATCCATTCACCCTCCACCCATCATCCATCCATCCATCATCCATCCATCCATCCATCCATCCTCCATCCATTCACCCTCCACCCATCATCCATCCATCCATCATCCATCCATCCATCCATCCATCCTCCATCCATTCACCCTCCACCCATCATCCATCCATCCATCATCCATCCATCCATCCATCCATCCTCCATCCATTCACCCTCCACCCATCATCCATCCATCCATCATCCATCCATCCATCCATCCATCCTCCATCCATTCACCCTCCACCCATCATCCATCCATCCATCATCCATCCATCCATCCATCCATCCTCCATCCATCATCCATCCATCCATCATCCGCCCATCCATCCATCCCAGGCACAGGAACAAGCACCATGCCATGATAATGCACTGTTTGTCACCTCTGCCATTTCTGCGTGGGGACTGGCGCCACATGGACCATGTCCTGCAGAGATCAGTCACTCTTGCTCCTTAAAACTGACCATTCCAGGAAGAAATAGTTTTGGCCTAGATAATTCAAACCTTCATTCGTCCCTGTGTCTCCAGGGACAAAATCTAGCTGTTGTTTTCTTTGGGCCACATCCAGCTAAAATGGGTCTCTGGGAGCATTCAGTTAGGCTGGAGCTGGGCTCGGTGTGCTGAATGTGTCTGAATATTTTTGAGGCAGAATGGCACAGTGTAATCCTTTATTTAAGTAAACAACTATTAAAATATTGTGGGATGCCTTCAGGTGATAAGGTGCAGAGGTCTACAGAGCCTGTCTTCTTGCAGCAGAAGGGATTGATAGTTCTTCTAGAGCATATTGTGATCTGGATCTGCCTTCAGGATGATTTTGGGTGTATGTGATTTGTTTGCCCCATAAAACATCATTCAGAGTTGCCATTTTGGGGACACTACCTAAATTAATAAATGAACTGTTACTGCACCCATTAAACCCGACAGAAAAGGTGCAGCAGGAGGATGTCAGCTTAGGAAGGACCTCCAGGCAGGCAGGGTGATGTGGTTTGGAAAACCATCAGATAGAAGGCAGCCTCAGTTTAAATGAAATACCAAGAAGATTGGTGTGGGGGCTGCGTGTAGTCTGCTCACTGCCCATGAGCTCCTCTGCCTTTCTTCTCCCATCTCATCTCCAAGGACAGGGGATTGTCCCACTCCCATCCCCCTAACAGGCCTGAGGCCAAAAAATTTGGAAATCCTGATGAAATCTTGCCTGCAGGTCTGTCTTGAAACTCTTCATGCAGAAGATGTGCTGCAAATTCCTGTCAGAGGTTGGTACCAGCTATGGCTGAGGGTCCTCCCCGGCTTTGGGAAGGGCTTTTGGAGGAAGACTTGAAGGCTTGCTTGCTCCTTTTGGAGAGTGGAAACAAGTGTGACCATACCGTGCTGTAAATTGGGATGATATCTTCTCAAAACAGTGTAAAGCCTGAGCCAGATCTGCTGCATTTTGGCCATGCCTGCAAATATGAGATTCACACAGAGCTAAAAAAGCTTCTAGGGTGAGAGAAGTCAGATCAAACTTGATAGTGAAAACTTCCTTTTAGGTGGGCATCAAGCCTTCAAAAGATCCCCTCTGTGTCCCAGCTGGAGTACACTGGTGGTGATCATGGTAGCATAGGATTGTTTGAATTGGAAGAGACATTAAAGACAATCCCATTCCACCCCCCTGCAATGTGCAGGGAACCCTTGATACATCGTGGTTGCTTAATTAGTGCTGGAAATGACTCCTCCCTCATCATTATCCACCCCCCCATTTCAAAGTGGGGTGTAATAAATCCATTACAGGTGCTGTTTGGTTGTTTGATTTTCTGTCTGGAAAAATCGTATTTATATTGCAAAAGAACCTCAGTGTGGTGGATTTTTTCCTCAGTTTAGTTTTTTTTTCCCAATCCCTATCTTCTGGAGTGATGTGATTACAGGAGCTGCTCAGGTTTCTCACTAGGGAAGTCTTTATACCCCTACAAAGGGCTCGTTTTCTGTGGAATAATCTAGGAGTTTGAATAGTGAATAAGCTCTAAAGCCCCAGAAAACCAAAAGAAAAGCAAAACAAAAGGCAGCCAAGCAGAGCAGGAGGCTGTGGGAAGAGCTTAGGCTCTGCCTGAAGCACACTGTGTCTTGCCAAAGGCTGAATTTGGAGAGCAACAGTGAAAGTGCAGTTTCTCACTGTCTTGCCTCTAACGCCTGCTAACGCCTGCTCAAGGTCCAAAGGTGGCTGCCAAAACTGAGATGTAAAACTGTGCTCACATTCCTGAGGACAAGATGTAAATGTGGTGGTTTGGGGAAGGACTATCGGATAAAAATCACTGAAACTCTTCTTTTTTTCCAGGCATGCCAGGTGTCTCATCGTTTTCAGCTTCTGCCTGGGACTTTCCTGCCTCTCGGGATTCTTCCATGTGAAGAGTAAGAATTACAGGTAAGTGAGGCAGAAGCAAGGTTGCATAATTTCCTGTACCTGGAGCACGTGGACTTGACCTCTAACGTCTGATTTATTTCTCATAAGGCCTTGGGCTAATGTTCAAAGGGAGGTGACTCAAAACTAGGTGCTTGTTTGGGGAAGGAATCGAATTAGCAAAAGTGCAGCTTCTTTGGGACAAAGTCAGCTGTGTGGGAAAAGGGGATTGAGCTGAAGTCTTTTTAGTGAGAGTCTGGAGAGGGGGAAAACTGGAGGGGGAAAACATCTACACTGGAGGCTTGGGGCTGATTTGCCTGCAGCTTTGGACCAGCTGCAGGTGTGGTGTCAGAGGAGCCCCTGGGCTTGGCTTTGCCAGGTCTCAGAGGTGGGGTGCAGCCCCAGAGAGTCTCTTTGCCCCATCTGTCCCCTTCCTGCAGAATCTCAAAGAGCCACGAGGAGCTGCTGATCCCTCCCACGCCGTGCCATGCCAAGACAAACGTCATGTTCCTCAAAACCCACAAGACTGCCAGCAGCACTGTGCTCAACATCATGTTCAGGTTTGCAGAGAGGTACAACCTCACTGTGGCCCTCCCTGCTGACCAGCTCTTCCACCTGGGATACCCAAGGACTTTCGTGGCCCACTTTGTGGAGGGCTTTGAAACCATAGGCCAAAATTACAACATCATGTGCAATCACCTGCGGTTTAACCCCCTGGAGGTAAGAAAGAGCCCTGACACCTGAGGAGAAACTTGGCTGGGACAGGACTAACCTCTTCTTCCTCCCACAAATAGGTAAAAAAGGTGATGGCAGCCAACACCTTCTACTTCTCCATCCTGAGGAACCCCATTCCTCTGCTGGAGTCTTCCTACATCTACTACAAGGACTATGTGCCTGCCTTCAGGAGCTCCAAGGATGTGAATGAGTTCCTGGAATCACCCACAAAGTATTACCACCCAGCAGATTACAGGAAAAACATCTACGCCAGGAATATCATGTGGTTTGATTTCGGCTACGACAACAACGCAAAAGATGACATGAACTACACCCAGGCTGTCCTGGAGGAGATCGAGCAGAACTTCCACCTCATCTTGATAGCAGACTACTTTGATGAGTCCATGATCCTCTTGAAGCACACTTTGTGCTGGGATCTGGATGATGTGATTTACTTCAAGCTCAATTCCAGAAGCCAGGACACTGTCCAGACGTTGACTCCGGAAAGTGAGGAGCAGATAAAAGCCTGGTGCTCGCTGGACTGGAAGCTCTACCTGCACTTCAACCAGAGCTTCTGGAGGAGAATTGAGGAGACCATAGGGCTGGAGGTGCTGGAAAAGGAGGTGGATCACCTGCGGACCAGACAGAAGGAGCTCATGGAGACTTGTCTGTCAGAGCAGGAGGCAGTGAGGAAGGATCACATCAGGAATAAAGCTCTCCTGCCTTTCCAGTCAGGGGCTGCAAATATCCTGGGTTACAACATCAAACAAGACTTGGACAACACAACTCTGAGAACCTGCCAGAAAATGGTCATACCAGAGCTCCAGTACACGTCCTACCTTTATGCTGTCCAACACCCACACAAGAAGAGGAAAGATGTGGGATTGCCATTGCTGTGGACCAGTCTCCAGGAGAAGATGCAGCTCCCAGGGTCCAACTAGAACATGTGGCAACTGTGGCTTCCCACTGCTTTGCATCACCCCTTTTCTGACATGAAACTGACCCACAGGACTCTTGTGCATGAGGGGGAGGCCGTGGGGGCTTTGTTTAGGGACACCAAGTTGGTGGTTGGTCTCTTTTTGGGGACCTTGAGCCAAAGGCTTTGCATTGTCCAGATCCTGGGTGATCTCACCTGCCTGCTCCTGGCTGGAGGGAGCCAGGCTGGCTGCAGCTGGCCAAGACATTCCAGCCTCTTAATCATTAATCAGGAAGTTGATCATTTGCCTTCATTTGATTTTATTTGATCTCCATCGTTGCATCAGTCTGGTCACAGCTCACTGGAGCAAGTCCTGAATTTGGAGGGTTTAGGGGAGGGAAGTGAGGGGGGTGTGACAAGGGGACAGAGTGCTCAGAGAAGCAGGAGAGATGGTGGGTGTCCCATCCAGCAGCGTCCACGCTGAGTGAGGACCAACCACCACACACTGCTGGAGCTGCCTTTGCTGTGGGAGCCCCAGGCATCCTGCCCAGGGCCAGGCAGGCTGGCTGCCTTGCCCAGTGGCGTGTAAGCCGTGCCTCTCACATGTGTCACCAGGTGAATGGGCCTGTGTCACATGTGGAGAGCTTGGTGCTCCCCTGGGAGGAGGTTTTGTGGTTCTGCCCCTCAGGCAAGGGTGCCTGGGCATGGATGTTCCTTTGGGTGCAGCATCCCCAAAGCCCTTTTTTGGCAAAGCAGACACTTTTTTGGGGCTCCCATTGCTGTGTTGGCCAAACTCTCCAGCAAGGATTAGGAGGGGATGGAGTGAGGCACAGCTTTGGGCACACTGGTGCATCCAGGTCCCTGCTGCTGCCCTGACCAGCACGAGCAGGAGGAGATAAAGCTGGCCCAGCTTTAAAACCCTGGGGTTTATCAGTGTAAATTGGCACTGCCAGATGTGTTGGGAACAGATGACAAGCAGTGACGCCAAATCCATTTGGCTTGGTGCTGCCATCCCCGCAAACCTCCCTGCCCCAGCAGCAGGGCCCTGGAAGGCAGGATGGGGAGGATGGATCTGGGGTCCAGGTGTTGCCTTGGGTGTGAAGCTGTGGGGCAGCAGCTCCAGCTGGGAAGCAGGAGTGCTGCTGTCAGGGGAGAGGGGTGAGAAGCAGAGCCAGGATTTTCCTCACTTGTGTTTAGCAGCTGGGGCAGGGGTTAACCAGCCCAGGTGCCCAGCAGGAACAACCCAGATTAAAAGCACTTTGCTTCACTAAAATTAACCCGAGGCTTTTGTAGCAGCCAGGCAGAGCTGCTGGAGCCACACGTGGTCTGCAGCCTCCACCTCAGCTTTCCCCTTGGAGCTTCTGCTCCGTGATTTGCCATAGGAATTTTGTCAAACCCTTTTAGCTAAACTGATCACAGAGATGGAATATTAGAATATAGGTATAAAAATGGTCTCTTAGTAGCTGATCTGTGTGCAGGTGGGGGTCCTGGGAAGACTGGGGATCCTGGGAGGGCTGGGGTTCCTGGGAAGTTTGTGGATTCTGTGGTGCTGGGGGTCCCAACAGCGCTGGGGATCCTGGAGAGGCTGAGAGGGCTGGGACCCTCCGGAGCACAGCTCCCAGGCTGGGGAGCTCACAGCAGGGTGGGCTGTGGTGAACATGGGCTGGAGCCCCTGGACAGGGAAGTGCAGCCTCTCCCAGCCTGCAGGAGCAGGGAAACTGAGGCAGGAGATTCTTGGATGCCCTTGTTTCCCCTCCCGGGTCCGAGCAGGGCTCGGCAGCGCGGGGCCCCCATCACGGAGCCTTTGTGGCCCGGGCGCCGCCGCAGCGCCGCTGCTGAGTCAGGGATTCGTGCCGGGGAGCCCCGTGACCCAGCGGAGGGGGACCCTGGGGGAGAGGGGTGGCGGCCAAGCACCGAGGCGACAGCTCTGCGGAAAGCCGGCGCTGCTCCGTGCTGGGGCCGAGGGACAGAGGGACAGCTGAGCAGCAGCCGGTGAGTGCCTTCGCTTTCTCCGGGGGGTGCTGAATCGGCAAAAGCTCCTGATGAAACCACAGGTGAGAGTGGCTCCAGCTGAGCCGGGAGTGGATGACCGTCTCCTTCCGTGGTGGTCATCGCCAGGAAAATGTAGGGACATAAGCAGGGGACAGCTGACCTGTCCCTGAAGGAAAGGTGTTTGGGAACAGCTCTGACCCACTGCCACAGGGACAGCCCAGCTGGGGACCCCGCTGTCCGTGCTGTGCACCTCAGCTTCCCCCACAGAGGAGGGAGAACAAGGCACCACTGGGTCCATCGCACTGGAGGCAGCACAGGAGCACTCCCTGCCCCTGTCACGATGAGCCCGGGCTGCTCCGGAGCTGTCTGCGGGCTCTGCCCTCCCAGTGCCCGCTGGAAGCTCTCTGCTCGCTGGCCTTGATTTCCCAGACAAGCATCTTAGAGATCAAATTCATGTTATTTCATTTTATTTTGGGGTCCCCAGGTCAGCATCTTCCCTGGTACCGTATGCCCTGAGGAGCAGGGAGCTGCAGCTCTCACCCTGCTCTCTGCTCACTGGCCTTGATTTCCCACACAAGCATCTTAAAGATCAAATTCATTTTATTTCATTTTATTTTGGGGTCCCCAGGTCAGCATCTTCCCTGGTACCGTATGCCCTGACCCACCTCTGAGCTGTGGTGACGCACTCAGCCCCTCTCCACCCCAGCCCTGCCCCTCAACCCAGATCCAAGCCCACCAAGTTAAACCCCAAACCCTTCCAAGAACAACCCCACACCCCTGTCCACGCTCAGCAGCCGGTCCCCCACCTTCACCACATCCTTGTGCTGCAGCTGCCATGGGCTCCCGGCACTTCCCGGCCCGGACCGTGCTCTTTGAGAAGGAGTCCAGCGGTGTCACGTACCGTGTGCCCGCCCTGCTCTACCTGCCCTGCGTGGCCAAGCTGCTGGCGTTCGCCGAGGAGCGCCTCAGCGCCGACGATGCCCACGCCAACCTGCTGGTGCTGCGCCGCGGCACCATCTACGGCAGCTACGTGGAGGTGGGACAGGGGCAGGGAACACTCTGGGGCTGTCCTCATCGCTTGGGGTGGCACAGCCAGGCTGCTGGAGGCAGGACATGGGGAGGGGAGGCTGGCATGGGTGGAGTGAGTCACAGGGTCACGGGTTGGTTTTGGTTGGAAGGCATCTCAAAGGCCATCTTGCTGCATGCCCTGCCACCTTCTGCTATCCCTGGTTTCTCCAAGACACATCCAACCAAACCGGGAACACTTCAGGGATGGGGCAGCCACAACTGCTCTGGGCAAAAAAGTGGGGTGGTCCTTACCCTCTCTGTCCTCTCCTCCTCCCTGGCAGTGGGAAGACATGCGTGTGCTGGAGACAGCAACGCTGCAGCACCATCGCTCAATGAACCCCTGCCCACTCTACGATGAGTTCACGGGCACCCTCTTCCTCTTCTTCATCACGGTGCTGGGCAGGACGCCCGAAGCCTACCAGATTGTCACTGGCCAAAATGTGACCCGCCTCTGCTGTGTCACCAGCGCTGACCAGGGCCTGAGCTGGAGCACAGCCACAGACCTGACCCAGCAGGTCATTGGAGCGACCATCAAAGGTACCAGCTGCAGGGGTGAGGCGAGGGGAGGGCAGCCAGCACGGGGGTGGCCCTGGGTTTTGGTCTCCTGGAGCCACCAGTGGTGTTACCACGGGTGACTTTGACATAGGAATCCCACAAACTTCCAAAAAGGTGGAAGAGGACCTCAAGCAGAGGGGAGAAGGGATGGAGGGAGTATCTGTACCAGTTACTGGGAATGGGGAGAAGATGGAGAGGCCCCATAGCCATGGGTAGGAGCATGTGTGAGGACAGCCAGGCAGCACTGGGCTCTGTTGCCCTCCCACCCCACCGCTTGGCTTGGCTTGGCTGAGAAGAAGCCCTGGGGACCCTCCCACGTTGGGCATGGCAGGGCAGCAGCGTGGTGGTCCCTCCTGACCCCATGCCACCCTCATCCCACCCCACCTGTGCTCCCCAGACTGGGCGACGTTTGCGCTGGGCCCCGGGCACGGCATCCAGCTGCGCTCGGGCCGGCTGCTGGTGCCCGCCTACAGCTACCACATCGACTGCAAGGAGTGCTTCGGGCAGCTCTGCAAGACCACTCCGCACTCCTTCGCCTTCTACAGCGACGACCACGGCCGCGCCTGGCGCTTCGGGGAGTTCATCCCCAACCTGCAGACAGGCGAGTGCCAGCTGGTCTCCGTGGATGAGGAGGACGGATCCAACGTCCTCTACTGCAACGCCCGCAGCCCCCTGGGCTTCAGGGTGCAGGCGCTCAGCACGGATGACGGGGCTGTGTTCCACGGGGGGCAGCTGGTGCAGCGGCTGGTGGAGCCTCCCCACGGCTGTCACGGCAGTGTCATTGGCTTCCCCGCGCCACTCCTGTACGTCCCCACGGCCTCCCGGGACAGCGGGGTGTCCTCCCGAGGCTCAGTTTGCCGGTGGCTTCCTGGGGCGCTCCAGAGGTTTGGGCACCAACAGGCAGGAGGTGCTGAGCTGCCCGCTGGCAACCACCACGAGCCAGATGAGGCCAGTGAGGACTGTCCCACCCCTGGGCATCTCGATGACCCCCACAACGCCACCCTGGTCCAGGGAGACTCTGCAGCACCCCCCAGCTCCACTCCCTTCTTCCAAGCGCCAACGTGGATCCTCTACTCCCACCCCACCAGCTCCATGTCGCGGGTGAACATGGGGGTTCACCTGAGCACCTTCCCCAGGGATGCAGAGAGCTGGACAGAGCCCTGGGTCATCTACGAGGGCCCGAGCGCCTACTCGGACCTGGCGTACATGGAGCTGCCGCTCCGGGACGCGCCGCTGGCCGGCGGCACGGCCATCGCCTTCGCCTGCCTCTATGAGAACGGCGTGAGGTCTCCCTACGAGCAGATCTCCTTCAGCATGTTCACGCTGCACGACGTGCTCCAGAACATCCCCCTGACGGCCGCGGCTCCCCGGCGGCGCCGCGCGGGGAAGAGGAGGAGGAGGAGGAAGAGGAGCTGCCTGGTCTCCTAGAGCCCACCCCAGCGCTGGATCCTGGAGCATCCACCCACAGGCTGGGTCCTGCCACCATCCAGCACGGCCACACGGCACAGAGGTGTGTTGCTGTCCCCACACTGGGGTTATCTCGTTTTTATTGCTATTTTTTAAATTCTGGTTTGGGTAGGGAGGCTTTTGCCCCCGGGCTCCTCTCCAAGCAAGAGCCACCTCTGGAAGCAGATACTGGGGGGCAACAGCAGCAGTGCAGGGGGAGGCAGCCAGGGGTACCCTGTGCCAGCCCTGAGTGCCAGGTGCTGGCTCAGGGGGATGTGGTGCTCCAGCTGTGCCACACCTGGTACCACCACCCTGCTCTGAGGGCTTTCCTCCCCTTGTTATAAATAGTTATGCTATATAAATATGGTATATAATGTTAAATTCTTTCTTTTTCATGAAAAGGCTTTTCTCAATGGCATCTCTGAAGGCACTCTGAGGGTTTGGGCTGGGGTAAAGTTCTGTTCCTTTACTGTAGCTGGGATGGGGCTGGGGTTTATATTTGGGCTGATGATAAAGAAATATTTGTATTGCATTACTTGTCTGTCTGGGCTTTTAGTTCTCTCTCTTCATTATTTTTCTTTTTATTACAATTTATTATTTCAATTAAAGTGTTTTTATGTCAACACAGGAGATGTCTCACTTCTACCCCTCCAATTCTCTCAGCCTCCCATGGCATGGGGGTGAGTGGCTGGGTGGTGCTCAGGTGCCAGCTGGGGTTCAACCACCCCCATGGCCCAGTTACTGCTTTGTCTGCTCTGGGATTTGGTTTTTTAATGTGCCGTGGCCATCACTGCTCTCCTGACCCTTGTCAGTGTGGGGACAAACCCTCTCCCAGCCCATCAGGCTCAGGCCCATGCTGGGTTAAACCTGTAAGGGTTATGGGGAAGGGGTTGAGCACAGGAGTGGGGTCCTGCTCTGGGGAATGAGCAGCAGCTGCTCCTGACACTGGTGTGTGACTGAACTTTGGGGGTTACACCTCAATTCCTGCTCTGCCTCCCCCAGCACGACTCCATCCGAGTGCCCCAGCTCAGCTCCTCAGGGCTCCTTCACCTGTCCTGGCCTGTGCAGGTGACAAACACCAGCTCAGCTACCCTAAATATGAACTGATGAACAAAACTGATTAACAAGAGTGTCCAGCTCTTCACTCTGTGACACCACCATGTCTCATTTTCCACCGGGGTGGGTGGAGGCTGACAAATGAGAGACAATATGTAGAATAAAAATTCTCAGCTCCGCTGAAGTTGCAAAATAGAACTTAAAGACTAACTAGCAAGTGATATAAAAAGGTGTAAAAGTAGGCAGACAGGATGCTAAACACAGCTGGAACCAGTGGAGAAACAGGTAATGAGGAACATGGTGACTTCTGTGGCAAAGTTATTTTACAAGAAACAGCAGCTTGTGCTCTGAGAGATTCAAGGCAAGGTCACAGCGTGGGGGCACTCAGTGAGTACAACCAGCAGACACCCCTGCAGACAACCCTCTAGGATCAAAGAGGACTTCCAGGGAGGGATGGAGGCATGTAAACTGCTTCTAGGAAAAGTGGTGTTTATTGCTCTCTAGGAATGAACCTGTCTGATCATGATGGAACAAAGCCCTGCTGTGAAGCTCCACAACACACATTCGCTTACAGGAGACATCCTGCTCTGTGATAAGGAGTGTCTGCTTTCTAATGCTCCAGACTGGCTCAGGAAATGGCTTCTCTGCTCCTTTCAGTACCACGAGGGGGGCTGAGGCAGCTGCTGGGCTCATGCCAGGGTGCTGGAAGCCAGGTCCTCACCTCCATCCCTTACTGGGCCAGTTCCCAACCCCAAACGGCCGCCAGCCCCAGGGGAAGGGACCTGGCCCAGCCAGAGGATCTGCACAGGAGAGCCCTTGGCTCTTCAGCCCCTGGGTGTCCATCCCCCACGGGGGCTCTCTCAGTCTCACACGGGGCTCTTGCACCAGGCTGGTGTCACAGCTCTGCTGTGCCCCCTGTGCCAGCAGCCAAGTGACAGCCGAGGTGACACCAAGGTGACGCCTCCTCCTGGCACTGCCACGGGCCCTACTTGCCGTCACAGAAGCCACAGAGGCAGCCCAGGCAGCCATTGAGGATCTGCAGCAGGGCCAGCACCATCTCGGCCACGCTGATGAGCAGCAGGAGGGAGAACAGGACCACGTGCCAGGTGACGATGCCCTCGGGCTCCAGGCAGACGCTCCAGGTTCTCCGGTTGTACAGGTAGTTCTCAGCCCTGTGTGACAGGAAGGGAGAAAATGCAGGATGCTGCCTGCAGCAGGTCCAGGATCCCACCACTTTCTGCCATGAAACACCCCCCAAACACCCCGTCCTTCATCCAGGGGATGAGCAGAATGATAGCTTAGAAGCAAAAAAGAAAGGAGCAGGCAAGAAAAAGAATGGTTAGAAGGACGATGTGTGTGATTCCATCCTTCATCCAGGGGATGAGCAGAATGAAAGCTTAGAAGCAAAAAGAAAGGAGCAGGCAAGAAAAAGAATGGTTAGAAGGACGATGTGTGTGAATCTAAAAAGAGAACAGAATTATTTTGTAGCACATACAGTGACAGGAGGGAAAGAAACCTATACAAGAACTAATTCTGCCATCTCTCCCAGAACTGACCTGACCACTGGAAGCAAAAACACGGAAGCTAATGTCAAGATGTTCCAGTGCAAAAACATTGGAATAAAACATTAACCACGGGTTCAGATATGATGAAATGTTGGTAAGAGTCTGAAGTAAAGAAATGGGAGCAGTGGGGTTCAAACAGTGAACACAAAGGGATGATTCCACTTGATAATAAACTAGCAAACAGTGCTGCAACGTCTTATTTGAGTTCTAATCTGTTACTTGATATTACAATTGCTTCAGCTGGGAGGTGAGAGGGTGATGAGGATGGAAAGCACCACGTAGAGACCCATGCAAGGTGAGGATTCCTCGAGCTACCAGCGAATTGCACCAACCACCACCAGCAAGCACCCCCCCATCCCTCCATTAATCCCCTTAATTAGCAATAAACGGATGAGGCAGTGGCGATGCAGCCCTCACCTGGCGTCAGGCCCCTGCTCAGTGGCATCCAGGAAGGGGTAGCCCCAGAGGGCCGGGTGCCCGGGCCCGGGGCTGTTGTAGAGGCACAGGGGCCCGTTGGTCAGCCCCACGCCGCAGAGCACGAAGCAGGCGGCAGCGCCCAGCAGCGCCAGCTTGGACAGCACCACCGAGAGGAACGCCTGCAGGGACACGGCGGGCACGCTCGGATCAGGGGGCACCAAAAGCAGCCGCGCCTTGGCAGCAGAGTTTGGGAGGGGGGAAGCTGCAAACTGCCCTCCCCAGCTGTGGCTGAGGATGGAGGCACTGCTGGAGTGGCAGGCGTGGGCAGGGAGGAGGGACAGGGACCTGCAGAGCCCATCCCAGCCCTGTCCCCTGGGGAGGTGACACCCTGCCATAGGAGAGCAGCACCCTGCCTCAGGGCCCGCCGGGGGACGGGGGGCGTTCACCGCATCCCACCGTGGCACCGGGGAAAGGGTCTGTGCCCTGCACAGGGGAGGGGACCCGCCACAACCCCCACGTGGCAGAGCAGGGTCCCTGCCCTGTGCCAACTCAAGGCCATGGAAGGGGAGTGTTCCTGCCCTGTGACAAGGCAGGGCCATGGAAGGGGAGTGTCCCTGCCCTGTGCCATCACGGGGCCATGGCAGAGGATGGTCTCTGCCCTGTGCCAACGCAGGGTCATGGCACAGGAGGGTCCCTGCCCCGTGCCAACGCAGGGTCATGGCAAACGAGGATCCCTGCCCTGTCCCAGGTGGGGCCATGGCAGAGCAGGGTCCCTGCCCTGTCCAACCCTGGGGCCATGGAAGGGGAGTGTCCCTGCCCTGTCCCAGTGCAGGGGATGGCAGAGGAGGGTCCCTTCCCTGTCCCCCTGTGGGGCCATGGCAGAGGAGTGTCCCTGTCCCGTGCCACCGCGGGGCCCTGGCAGAGCAGAGTCCTTGCCCTGTGCCATCATGGGGCCATGGCAGAGGAGTGTCCCTGCCCTGTCCCATGCGGGGCCCTGCAGAGCTGGCACACACCCCCGCCCTGCCCGGCTCGGCTCCCGGCCCTGGCTTACGCTGTGGCGGGCGGAGCAGCCGCAGCGCTGCCAGCCCAGCGCCGTGACGTGGATCCCTGCCAGCAGCACCTGCGGGGACAAAAGCACAGCTGGGGGACAAAGGGGAGCCAGCTGCCCTGCTCCATCCCTCCGGCCCGGCTCCAGGGCGGGCTCTGCCCGCGGTACTCACGGCGATGCCGCCCCAGAGCCCCGGCACGGCCCGGGCGTGGCTGCCGATGCGCCCCTCCCGCAGGTACCGGGATGCTCCGCCGGGGAACAGCAGGAGGATGCTGGCTGCCGCCGAGAGCGTGCCCAGCACCAGCAGGCAGGGCCCCACGATCCGGCTGCACTTCCCCACGCACATGGCTGTCCTGCAGGGGCACGGGGAGGAGGAGGAGGAGGGGAGGAAGGGGCTGAGTTTGGCCCCGCAGCGCCCCGAGGCTGCCCCAGCCCGAGCCCCTCTCACAGCTGCGGGGCTGGGTTGGGCTTTTGGGTGTCAGTGCCCCTGGCATTGCCCCTACCTGAGGGCAATTTCCAATGGAAATTCTTTGCCAAATGGGCACTGGTGTTCCCACACCAAACCCCAACACCTGTGTGGCTCTTCCAGAATGTGTCCCAGCTCCTGGCAGGGGAGGATGGTCTTTAAGGTGCCTTCCTACCAAAACCAGTCTGAGATTGTGTGGAAATGTTACTGCAGGGAGCCAAGCACCTACCACAGCTCAGTTTGGCTTTCAGTGTTTACAATGAGCAGGAGGGAGCCAGGAAAGAGGGAAAATCCTGTACAAGGGCTTGTGAAAGCACATTGGTCTCCAATCAAATCCAACAGCAATTCCATCCCTGTCCCTGCCATAGGTCTGAGTATGTGAAACCAATTACATTTCATTAAGAAAACATTATTACCTATCCTCCAATTCCACTGGCATCTTATTAAATTATGAATTTATCTAGAAAGCACCTGCCCAGGTGCCCAAGGTATTTTGGATACCTTGTCCAAAACTGCCTCTCTTCTGCACCTACAAGACCCTTTCTGTACAGGATGCCCTTTGGTCACTCTGGCACTGCTGAAAACAGCATGGTTTGCTGTTGCCCTGGCTCCCAGCTGTTTTCTAGCCTGAGATCTCTTGGCTAGAAGTTGTGCTAACACATTTTCCCCTTTCCTGCTCAATTGCAGCCCATTTTGCACAAGTTCCCCAGCTCCACTGGTTCTTGCTCTGGCTTTCCAAAGCAGAAGTGGCTGTGGCACAGCGGGGTCGGCTCTGTGGGAAGAGCAGCTCAGCCCCTCCTGCAGGGCTCCAGGCCAGGGAGGAGCAGCCAGGGCAGCACATCCAGCCCTGGCACTGCCCGAGGGGCTGGGGGACACCAGAACAGGGGGATCAGCCACGCCAGTGCCAGCAGAGCCCTGGGGAGGGCAGAGCATGGAGGGACAGGGCTCTGAGACCCCTGAGGGGCACCATCAGCTCCACATGTCCTGGAATCCCACCTCTCTTGATCTCCATCCTCCCTGCCTTGGTTACAGGGAATTTAGGGCCTCTTGCCCCCAGTGAGGTCCTCCTTGCAGCCCAGGGATTGTGTGTGGCTCCACACAGCCCAGGGACTGTGTGTGGTTGTTTCCTGCCACATCCATGAGTGCCCTCTGTGAGTCCCACCTCCCCACCACCTTCTGGAGCAGCTCCTGCTCCTCTGAGCTCACAGCCCGGGCTCTCACCTTTCTGCTCATCTCCCCTCCACCTCTCCAAGCACTCTCCTTCCCCTCCACCGCTGCCCTCTCCCTGGGGATGGCAGGAGGTCTCTTTCTCCCAGGGAATGCTGTCCCTTCCAAAGCTCCCCTGAGCACGCAGCTCCTCGGCCAACACAGACAAACCCCCGTGCAGGGAGGCAAAGCCAAAGTGCAGGTGGTCCTGTGTCCATCAGGAAAGCAGGACACCCTTCTGCCAGCACACCTCCACGACCAAAAGCACAGGGATTCCAGCAGAGCCCAGGGAGCTTCTCCCCCCTTCCCAGCTTACCTGGAGAGCAGAGCAGCAGTGTCCAGCCCTGGCTGAGCCCTGGCCCAGGGACATCACCCATGGGTGACTATTTATGACAGCTCAGGGAGTGCTCCCCTCCCTCCTGCCCCCCCAGGGCCGCCCACCAGGCCATGACCCTCTGGCCATGTCCCCATCCAGGGAAGGATGAGTGGCTGCATGAGCCAGCCTCTGCTGGCTCTTCCCCATTTCAGAATTCACACTGGCACAGCTCAGCAAAACAGGCACACCCTCAGATTTTAAGGCTTCTACCACATCTGCACTGAATGCCTCAACCACTGCCTGAGTAGGGAACATTGCTGCTCCTGGAACAACCTGTTGGGATGATGCTTTCCTCTCTAATATTTCACTAAAATCTTCAGAACAAACATTCCCTTGTGTCCACTGGCTCCAACCTCCCACCCTTTGCTTCCTCACAGGTGTCTCAGCTTTTCCTCAGGTGCTGAGTGCATCCCCACCACGTGTGTGTCTCATGCCTTGCTAATCAGATTGAAAGAGGAAGGTTATTTCTTGATATCTTCATTATTATAAATCCTCAGATATCAGCATTTCCTATCTGCCATGGCTGGCAGTTAATGTGCCACAGGGAAACTCCAATTCCCACAGAGAAGGTCAGGACCAGGAGCAGGAGAACATCAATGACCTCTGAGTCTGAGAACAGGAGTCAGGGAAACAGTAGCACCAAAAAATGGCAAAAAGGGGCAGTTTTGTTGGCAGAGGAGTTGCAGGTGGCACAAGCAAAGAGAAGAATGGCTCGTGGGCTGTGCAGGCAGAAGGAAGAACTCAAAGAAGAGTTCAAAGAGCCACATGGGAAAAGATGAATGGGTGAGGTGAGTTACAGCAGGCAATTCCATTCCTCTTGTGAAAAAGAGCTGAGGAGCAGATTATTCCTCTGAAAGGAAAATCAGAGTTGGCACCAGGAGAGGAATCCCCATTTTAGTCACAGAATCTCAGAATAGTCTGAGGAGGAAAGGACCCAGCAGGATCATGGAGTCCAACCCATGCAGGGATTGAACCTGAGACCCTGACAGTCTCAGCACTGGGCTCAAGCACCTGAGTTAATGTCAGGGTATTTCACCCTTAAATTAAACAAATCAGTCTCCAAAATGAAGGCAGACAACACATACAGGACAAGCAGAGTCCAAGTTCTCCTTCCTCTCTATTTTCACTTTGAAAGAGGGGAACCCATTTTTCACTCTGCAGGAAGAAAATGTTTTGCAACCTCGTCCTGTGCCTTTCCTACGTCACAGCAATCTGAGGTTCCCACCACACACATGACCTGCTCCATCATCTCCCACAGAAAACCCCATGCCAGGAAGTGTGAAGCATCTGGCTGACTCTTCCCTGGATTGCTGCTCTTTTCCTTATAAGAATAATCCTAATAGAGGGCTAATTTTAGCCCTGCACGTGAGGAGCTGCGTGCTTGCCTTTCTCACACCAGTTACTGTGAAAGTGCCAGCACAACCAGGAGCTTGCTGCCAACTCACCCAGTCCTGGTGCAGCCAAATGTGGTCCCACCTAAGACAATTCCAGCTTGGCCAGGTCCTGCTCTGGTTCCTCACAGCTGCAGAGGGTCTTCACCTCCCTGCTGCCCTGTGCTTCCCCAGGCTCCTGTGGGGCTGGGGGAACTGCACAGCAGGCTGGCTTTCCAGAGTGGCTTGGCTTCAAGGAGAACCAAAGAGACTGAGGGGAGTCTGACCTGTGAGAAGGAAAGTGGATGGAAGATGTTCAGCACCCTCTGGTCTCTGCCCTCCTCAGCATCTGCAAACCTGTTTGTGCCACTGCTCAGCCAAGACTTCTCCAAAATCCCCTTAGACAAGCCCTGCAGGGTGTTTGTGGCTGGAACTGGCTGAGGAAACACAATATTCCCTTTAGGGCTTGCAAATGTCACCTGAATTTACAATCCAGATAAATCAACCCCATGAAAAGTTGGAAGTGTACAGAAAGGAAAAATAAGTAAATGAAACCCAAGAGGTATTTTGAGTCTGAGGTATCCCTGCAGTTCCTTGACCTGCAGACTGATGTAAAGAGATTCCTGACTCAGTTGGAACTGGAGATATTTTCCTAGGCTGCGTGAAGAGTTCAGGGTTTTCCAGCTCCAAGACCAGGCAGGGGCTGAGCTCCACAGTGGAGACCTACCTCCAGTCAGGAACACGGGGATGACCCAAAATTGATTTCTTAATTTCTGTTTCTCACTGTACCTGAGAGTCCTGGTCCAGAAGGGCCCCTGCTCCTCAGCATTTCACACCAGGCCACGACAGGAACATCCCAGGGAACCCAAACTCAACTGCACAAGTCAGAGCTCTGCCTTGCCACCCCTGTACCAGGACACTGACAGCTCAGAACAGAGAGCCCCATTTCCTCTGCTCTTCCATTGGGAAGGATGGAAAATCCTAGCCCTGCCTCTTTATTAGTTTTCATTCAGGTATTTTTCCTTTCAAGGTCCTGTAAGTTTGTCCCACTTCAAGATTTTCTATCCTCTACAACAGCCTGAAGCTTTCTTGGGCAGTGTTGTCATCAACAGCTCCTTATCCTTCTAGCCCAGTATCCTCAAGGAAAAACTCAGCAGCTCCACAAATAACACAGGGACAGACTTCCATTGGAACTAAACCAACAAATAAACCCCAACTCCAAAAAACCAAGAGCTGAAGAAAGCTACTGAAAACAGTTTGTTTTATTTCCAGGATCAAATATTACAATAGGACATTTACATATATTTATAAAAAATGCAGCAGTTGTGTATATAGATCAGAGGTTTCCTTGAGTTTGGTCCCTCCCAGCACAGTGAGCTGAAAACTTCCAAATTATTCCTCTCCCTCCTCCCATGTGAAGTTGCAATTATTGGATAAACTGACCATTGTGAAAAGCTGTCCCTTAGAAACCGGATGTTCCCCAGTTCCAGGAAACAGCCTCATTTTTTAAAAAATCATCTGTCCTAGAGTCTGGTGTCTCTGAGTTGAGTTTTACCCAGATGTTCTTCATATAAATCTGGTCTATAAAAATAGCACCTCATCCCTGCTCCAAGCAGTTTCAGTTCCACACCTTCCATCTGGGCACCATTTCACAAGCAGTTGCAAAGTGACTTTTCTCTCTCTGCAGACACTCCCAGTGATCTGTCAAATCCCCAGTTTCTGTCCTCCCTCCCTCCCTCCCAAGGTGCCCCTGGAACACAGTGGATAACCCGAGGCACTGCTGTCAGGGGCAGCAGTCTCTGACTGAAGCCCTGTGGGTGTAAATAGATATGGCTCTGTTTGTTGGGACTGCACAGACACCAAGCATCCCAAGGACAGGAGACAGGAGAAAAGTCAGCACAGAAAGGGCATCCATTAACCTCAGCAGCTCCAAATCCACACAGGCCTGTGGGTGCTTCCAACAATGCAGCCAGAGCAGGGCTCAGCATCAGTCTGTGCTGCCTTTGAAAAAGGACCTGTTCCACTTAGAGAAAATCACTTGTGAAAATAAATAAATAGGGTGAGGGAGAGCAGAGGCTGGATTTGAGCCTGTGGGAACAGCCAGATGAGGCACAGCCATCTTAAGGGCAGCAGCTTTGCCCTTCACCCACCTAAAGCATATCCCTGCCACCCCTTCTCCTCTTGGACCAGACCTGAAGGACCAGACTGCCTGTTTTATCAACTTCACTAAACAGGGATTAAACCAGAAGAAAATAGTGACATTTAGAACAAACTAGAAAGGAATAAAAATGAAGTGATGAGGCCCTGAAATGATACAGATCTTCCCGTTCACACAGACATTCCTACACAGGTCCCTATGTTCATATTTCGTTTTGATGTGGTTTACCAAAAAACTACCATGTTTCAAGCATCTCTGCAGTGTTTGCTACCTGACAAACAGCCCAAATGCTGCCCTGCCCCAAAAGAAAGCTGGTTTTAATTTAGCCCTTGTTGCTCGAGTGCCAGTGAAGAAGCTCGGTGCTGTGGCAGGAACAGGAATTTGAGACCCTTCAGCAGAGAGGCTGAGTTACTAAAACCTGCACCAAACCCAGTTTTTCTGCAGAGGTACAAACCTCAGCACCAGTGCCAGGGCAAGCTGAGTAGAAACCAGCTCTGAAGGACGTGGACCCTGTGAAACACAAGCTGGACAAAGGAGGGGTGTCACTTCCCCTAACAGTGAGGAGAAGGTCAGGGAGCTCTGGGAAGAGCTGATGGAAAATTCCTCTTTAGATCTACTTAGGAATAATGGTACCTCTGGATGCCTTTTACAGACAACTGTATTTACAAGGCCACCTGCAGATCCTGACAATCCTTTAAGATCAGTGGTGTTAACTGAACTGATTTAGCAGGAAAAGCAACGCACTGTAGTCCATGAATGTCAGAAATCATCAAAGTCACAGACCTTGGTTCAAAGCCTAAAAAAATAACACAAGTATGGCCAGAAAGGTTTGGCCCAGCCTCTACCTGCCCTTTTTAGGTCAGTGGGTCAGTCAGCTTGACTTAAGATCATGCAGCACCAGAAAGATCCAAAATCCTTCTGTATTCCTCTGAAGTGGGAAGTGAATGTGTCAGCTGCACCTGGCAGGGAAAGGCAGAGCTTGTTTCCCCTTCTGTTCCAGGATCCTGGCTGTGACCAAATGGGAGGTGCTCCACATCCCAAAACAGAGCTGGGTTAGATGAAGAGCACAGCAAAGGGAACATCTCAAGGAGCTCCAGCTCCAAACACAACAGCCCTGACAGTTCTCCACTCAGAAAAACCTGCACTGCCTACATGCACTGCTGCTCCCCTGCTGCCTACCAGCCCTTGCAGCAAATCCTGACCCAGGGACACCCACAGGAAGCCACAAACCACAGCTTTTGAAGGATTGGTTTCCTCTGTCCTTCACAGCTCAACGTCGTATTTCCCAACCAAACTTAACACATTTTTTCCAGCAAAGGCAATTTGAGCTTCAGATTTCACATCTAGAAGTGACTCTTTAAAGGCTCTTTAAACATTGCCCAACCCATCACCTTCACTGCCACGAGCTGTCCTGGCCCAGGCAGGACTTGATTTGTGTTT